GAGCACCGTTTGGACTTAATATAAAGTATTTTTCCTTAAAAAGACTATTTAAGACACAAAGTATACAATCTTACTTTGTGAGGTTACTAACACACATGAATGCAGCATACAGGGCCGCTGGAGTGGGAAGGGCTGAGGCGGGGCAGGCTGCCACATCGCACCGTGCGATGACTAAGTAGACTGAGAGTGACACATGCTATGGTCAGCCCTGGGTCACCCTAAGAAGACAATGCAAACATGGGTTTCGAGAAAGGTGGAGACGATCAGCTGCTGGTTTCCCTCCTCTTAGCCAAGGCGCCTGCTCCTCCCCTCCAGGTGCAGGTGCATGTGGTTTGTAAGCGATGCGGAGCCAATGTTTCTCCTGCCTCCCACCCCCAAGCACACTTCCCTGTCCCTCTGCACACGGAAGGGGGCAGGGACCACCTAGATCAGTGGTCGGCAAATTGCGGCTCGAGAGCCACATGCGGCTCTTTGGCCCCTTGAGTGTGGCTCTTCCACAAAATACCACGTGCGGGTGCGCACGTATAGTGCGATTGAAACTTCGTGGCCCATGTGCAGAAGTCGGTATTTTGTGGAAGAGCCACACTCAAGGGGCCAAAGGGCCACATGTGGCTCACGAGCTGCAGTTTGCCGACCACCGACCTAGACCACCGATCCTCCACTGTCAAGAGAGGAAGGGAGACATTTACGACTGCTCACTCTTCCCTGATGTCTCCAAGGATCACAACCTGGAGACAAAACGGAGTGAGGAGAGAGAATGAAAGTGGTAACAACCAGAAAGGAAGGGAAGGAATGACAGTAGCTACGGGGATAGTCTGAGGGTGTCACTGTGGGTTCTGAGGGCGTGTGCAGATTGTAACAGTAAAAACACAGGCCACCGCTGAAAGGTAAACTTCACCTGGTCAGAGGTCTCTCTTTACCAGGGAGACACGGGAGGGGAAGTGAGCAGAGCATGCAGACCCAGAAGGGAGGGCACCCTGGGGTCTCGGGGCAGGAGAAAGGGGCCAGATCTTGGGTCCACGCTGTGCTAGCTGCACAAGCCAGGGCAAGTCACAGGGCTTTTCTAAGCCTCGGGTCTGATAAGAGAAATGGGCAACAGTAACTCAGACACGGCGATGCCTGTGGACGGACCTGTGAAGCCATGCGGACAAAGGCCCATGTTTTATGAAACGCACGTTTAACCCACTGGGCGCGATAAGCGTCTGTAGACACAAGCAGCGGACCTTCCCCACACGCCACGCGCTTCTATTAAAAAAAAAAAAATGTTTTCCCTAAGTGGCAGACCTGACCAATTTTAAAATCATTTTTCGTGAGAATTTTCAGCTGAAGATATTCAAGAACATTATTTTTGTAATATTCATTGCAAATTGATTTTTTAAATTAAAAATATGGTGGCGCGTGGGGATGGTTTCTGTTTTGGATGCGTGGCAGTGAACTGGTTAGTCTCATAGGAATTTGCGGACTTCACACAGCACCACGTCGTGGCGGTGTGCCTATGAGACACACTCGCACAGCGCGGAGCACCTTGTGTGGCTGAAACCGGCATGGGGAAGAATCATCCTTAGAGAGAAAATAAACAAATGGGACCACATCAAAATGAAAAGCTCCCACACAGCGAAAGAAACATCAACAAAGCAAGAAAGCCCACTGCGTGGGAGAACACGCTTGCCAATGTCATATCTGATAAGGATTTAATCTCCACAACTGATAGGGCACTCACACAACTTAACAAAAAGAAGATAAACAATCCAATAAAAAATGGGCAAAGGACCCAAATAGACACTTTTTGAAAGAAGACCAAGAGACATATGAAAACATGCTCAAAGTCACTAATCATCAGAGAGATGCAAATCAAAACAATGAGGTACCATCTCACACCTGTCAGAATGGCTATCATCAACAAACGACAATTCCTGGAGAGGATTTAAAAAACAATGATATATCTGCAAAATGGAATACTATGCTGCTGTAAAAAAGAAAGAACTCTTACCATTTTCAACAGCATGGATGGACCTGGAGAGCATTATGCTAAGCGAAATAAGCCAGTCAGAGAAAGATAAATATCACATGATCTCACTCATTTGTGGAATATAATGAACATAAACTGATGAACAAAAATAGAACCAGAGTCATAGAAGCATCAAACAGACTGTCCAACTACGAGGGAAGGTAGAGGTCGAGGGGGTAAAAGATCAAATGCATACAAAGGTCTTGTGTGCATGCGTATGAGCATAACCAGTGGGCACAGATGGGGTGGGAGGGGGTGAGGGCAGGCGCTGGCAGGTGGGGGTGGCCAGGGAGTGGTCAATGGGGAAAAAGGAGACATATGTAATACGTTAAACAATAAAGAATTTAAATTAAAAAAAAGGAATCATCCTTAGATGAGAAACAACTAGGACATAGTTTTTAGTGGAAACAATTTAAATTTTACATGAAATTCCTATTGAATTTAGATTTACTCTTTACTTTCATGACTGGAAGGCGAAGGAGCAAGAACAAAATCAGACCCTCCAGCTCAGGGGAACTGAGGCCACTGTGGGCTACCGAGCCCCGCAGGACAGCAGCGAGAAGGAAACACGGTTACGATGACTAAGGACGCGTTTAACTCCACCTCTGAAAGGAATTTTGGAAGCCAACACAAAACCACTTAAAAAAAACACACAGCAAGGAAGCACAAGTAACCTTGAGTCATTAACCAAACCTAGAGCTTTTAGTTCAGAGTCCACCTTTTAGGATAAATGAAGAATCAAAAAAGAGAAGAGAACTTGTATAAGATGCTGTTCACATATTAAAATTTTTAAATCCATGTCTCCATAAGACATCTATAAAATGTCAAAAGGATATGCTTTGCATTTTGGTATCTGGGTAGTAACAGCTAACACTTTCAAATTCAAATAACCAAATTCCCAAATGGCTACTGTCCACTTTTCTGTACTCCAACGTCCCCACGTCCCTTCTGGGTCTTCAGAAAGAGCCCTGTCGTCACTACTGCCACCAGAGCAGCCGTGCGCCCGCGGAGCTGCGCAGGTGATCTCACTTGACCCTGAACACCAGGTGTAGTGGGATTTGTGATGCTGCTCTTACAGGGAGGCTCAGTCACTTGCCCACGGTCACACAGCCTTTAACCCTCTAGCCTTCACAACACAAGGTACAGCACTCTCCACACCTCCACCCTCTGGGAAGTGTTCTCTGAGCTTGTGCTTATGTAGGAGGCGTGCGCGCGCGCACACACACACACACACACACACACACACACACACGCGCGCGCACGCACGCACTTGCACATAACATTGACCCGAAAGGTGCAGCTGGCCTGAACAGACAGCCTCCCAGATGAGCTGAAGTAGCTGTGCCCTGAGATGCTGCGTACCTCCCCTTGGGTACAACAGTGATATGTAATAAGAAAAACACTGCACGAGCCTGTGGCTGCAGCCACTGCCGGTTGCAGCCCTGACGGAGGCCAGCTTTGCTTGAGAAAGCAAAGAAGGGACATGACCATGTTAAGTTACAACAACAAACCCCCCCACCCCGCAGGCTGCAGACAGCCTGGTATCATGCAGACAGGAGGCATCCACAGCCGGTTACTACAGACGGCGACACGCTGGCATGGCTGCTGCCGCCTCACCTCAAGTCGCCACAGACAGACTGGGCCTCCCCAACGCCTCTGAAACGCTCCCGCACTTCCGGGATTCCAGAGGCCATGGGCTGTGACAGCGAAACAAAGATCAGGAAGAGAGCCAATGTTCTGAAACCCGCACACAGAGACCACGTCACCCTTTGAGGTCCTTGGGCGGGGCCTCCGTGCCTACGCCAGGAATGCTACCACGCTTTTTGGGGTCTTTGTTTGGTTGACACTCAAACAAACGTAAAACCCCTGTGGGAATCCCTGTAAAATATGCTTTCCTCCTTTTCCTTTTTAAAAATTATTTTATTTTTTAAAATATATTTTTATTGATTTCAAAGAGAAATGGAGTAGATAGAAACATCAACAATCAGAGAGAATCCTTGATCGCCTGCCGCCCGCACGCCCACCACTGGGGATGGAGCCCACAACTCGGGCCTGTGCCCTGACGGGAATCGAACCGTGACCTCCTGGGTCATAGGGTGACGCTCAGCCCCTGCGCCCCGCCGGCCGGGCTCTTCTTTTTCCTTGTTAACTAAACCACGTTACCAAGGTGCTCACCAGTCACGTCATGAGGCGGAGCACTTAACCTCTAGGCACGTCTCAACCAAGGCGCAGGGCAGAGCCGCCACCTCGGGCCCTGGGCTCAGGCGGGCCCGCCTGGAACTCAGCCCCGGCTGCGATCAGCTGCCCGACCCCCTCAGCACACTGAGAACGATGCCGCCGCCTCATCTCCAGGGCTGTGAGGATGAAGAGGAAACCAGGTGTCAAGGTCACACACAAAGCCGGGCCCAGAGTACTCAGTAAACACCGGTTTTGAAGTTCATGACTAGCCCATTAACGGGAGCGATGGAGACTTTTATCAGTGGACACGGTGCTGGTTCAAAAGGTCTTCCCAGGCTCAGTGACAGGAGACCCACTCAGAATCACGGGCCCCTTCAGGCTGATACTTCACGGGCCAGTGTCTTTGGAACAGCAACGCTCAGGTAATTTGCCTGCTCACCACTCAGCTCCTCTGGCCGGCTGTCCTGGTGGACACCGCGTTCAGGAGCAGGAGTGATGGCCCCGGGTTAACACATTGGAGCTGGAGAACGAGTGTGTGAGTTTGTGGGCACATCCCCTTTGGAAACTGGCGGCACCGACTGACTAGACTTGTGTATATGGCTGCCTCTTGGGTACACACGGGACCGATACTGCTGAACGAGCGCTCACCGAGAGACGCCCATTATCGCGTTCACACTGCAAGAGTCGCAACAGCCCAAACTGGAAGGGACCCGAGCCTGCCCCAGCAGTGGAGTGGGTAAGCTGTGCCAGCCACCCACGGACACCACAGCCCTGCACATGCAGCACAGCCACCGACAACAGGGACCATCTCAAGTGACACATGAGCCAACCCACGAGACAGAAGAGTCTGCACAGAATGCCCACTGACATGACCTCAGGCAGGGGAGCCCGCCATGTTCGTGAGCCTGGGGTGCACCGCGACTGGGAGGGCAGCTGGGGGGGCAGATCTGGGCCCTGGCAGCGTTTGCCTTGTTCTGGATGCTGGTTACAGGAATGTGTGTGCCTGGTTGTGAAAATTTTATAAGTCATGTACTTCTTGGCATGTTTATATGTTCACATCTTTGTATGTCAATAAAAAGTTAAAAAGTATAAAAATTACGGTATAGAGCTTTAAGTGGATAATCCTATTTGCTCACTGCCCTTGTTTGTCTAAAAAGGGCGTAAGAAGCACCTTAACTTAGGATGTTTCCCTAAGGGACACGGCACGGACACTGCGATGCCGGCAGGAGCCGCTCAGGCAGGCAGGCAGAGCAGCTGGGAACAGGACTCTGAACGTCCGCTCCCAAAGGGCAAATACGGAAGCTGTTTACTGTGGTTTCCCTGGCATAGTATCTATTAAAAAACTAACTGAATTTATCAGCGATTAAACAACATTTTCATGAAAAAGTAGTGCACATATCAGCTGTCAGTCACACAGCACAAAAACACCAGAGAACACGTGGAGAGAAACTTTCCCTGAGGACCCGCCAGGCCCCGCGGAGGGCGTTTGTACAGGTGCGTTCACACCCATGAGTAAGACCCAGGACGTAAGGACAGACTCTGAGTCACAGAGACCTGCCCACGACAGTGTGACGAGCACTTCCTGAGCCTGCCCGACTAGAGTCACCGAGGAAGGGGCGCATAGATGACCGAGGTGGGCGGCGTCCGGGTGCCCTGCTGAGTGTCTGCAGTACTTTCTTTTACGGTGGACGAGGAGGAAAGGATTTGGGAAACATTATTAACTGCCCTGAGGTAAGGACTTTCCAAATGTATTACTTTGCAAGCATCTTGAATATAATGACACTTTTTAAAAGCTCAGTAAAAGAGCCTATTTAATTCCTGTGATACACTGTTACATGTAAGTGTCCAAGCAAGCTAGCAGATCATAGTAAAATGTCACTGGCCCTTTTGGTAGCCATATCATACATTTTCAATTACAAAGTTAAATTTAATTTCTGACTCATACAGGACAATTCAGAATAAATTAATTCTCAATGGCCTGTGCTAATTGTGCATAAGAAGATATCCATGAATTATAGTCTAGGAACCGTGTGTGTGTGTGTGTGTGTGTGTGTGTGTGTGTGTGTGAAAATAATTATCTTTAGTTCTAAAAACCCACCCTGGGTACTTTCTGGGCTAGATGAACGTCAGTGTGCCCTCGCGTGCGCTGGGCATGAGCGCAGTGGCTGTGTGACCCCTCCTGCCTAGGCTCCGCCGGGAGGTGCAGGCGCCCCGAGGTGAGGATGACGATCCCTGTCCTCAAGGAGCTTCAGTCTAGTAGGGGAGGAGACATACTAGACTGTGAGCTCCTCGAGGGCAGGAAAGGTGTTCTAGGCATCTTGCCCGTGACCAGCACCAGGCTCAGCTACGAGGGGCTCGGTGCCTGTGGGGCTGAACGCGGCTGCAGCCAGTGTGGCAACATGGGGGCCGGGACAAGCACAGGGCCCGGAAGATTCCGGGGGCCGCGGGGAGTCAGCTGGGAAGTCACAAAAGAGCCAGCACAGGAGAAGCCCAGAGGGACAGGCAGGGTCACCAGGGGGAGGAGGTGGTCCAGGCCAGAAGGCGGGGTGAGCTTGGCCACAGTGTGAGAAAAGGACGGAAAGGACTGGCAGGTCAAGGCCACACCGTTTGAGTCAGGGTCATGTCCCACAGCGATACTGCAGGAGATGGACTAAGGAGCTCTCCTGGGCAGGAGGACGGGGCTGGAGGCACCACAGGGAAGCCTCCAGCTGTCAGCCGGTGGGCGGCGAGGAGCTACCCATGACTCCCAGGTGGACTTGAAGACAAAGGCCCCACTATCACAACAGAAGGCGAGGGGCCCAGAGGAGAAGGCCACAGCTTTGCTCTGGACAAAATGATGGCCAGCGGCCATTTCAAATGCAGGTGGAGGGGCTGTGAGAACAGGCAGCACAGCCGGGGGGCGGGGGGGGCAAAGCCCAGCAGTGCTTCCCAGAGCCCAGGAGGACGGAGAGGAAGAGGCCCGAGTAGAAACCCATCACTGTGCAGAGCGAGGGCAGGGACGCAAGGTCAAGAGCCAAGAGGTCACGGAGGCAGGCAGATGGAACTGGGGCCGGAGGGCAGACACTGCAAGGGCAGAACCTGTGAGTTGTGGGGAAAGATCAAGGAGGAACCAACAAGTTCAGGAGCAAAACAGGAATCACATTCAAACCAGCCCCAATGGTGAGAGCGTGCACTGTGCACTGGCCACAGGAAATGAGGAAGCTCGACTCCGACTCGCCTGGAGCAGGCGCCTAGGGTGCTGAAGGCCTCCACTAGTGAGATGCAGAGCTGCGCCCTGGAGCGGCGGTGCAGGGCAGAGACTGCTGACTCCTGTCCCCTCCACAGGACCTTACCCTGGGGGCAGGCCTGCGCCCCACAGCCCAGCTCAGAGAGGCAGGCACTCAGCAAACAGCTGCTGCCTGGATGCCCTTCCCTTTCTCCCCAGGGGCCTGAATTCTCCTTTCAGGAAACTTGTCCAGCAGGCTGAGTGCCTGAGAGGAGGTGAGGCTATAGACCAGTGGTTCTCAACCTTCCTACTGCCACGACCCTTTAATACAGCTCCTCATGTTGTGGTGACCCCCAATTTCATTGTGGCAAACTGAACATAATTAAAGCATAGTGACTCATCACAAAAACAATATGTAATTATATATGTTTTCAGATAGTCTTAGGCGACCCCTGTGAAAGGGTCGTTGGACCTCCAAAGGGGTCGCGACCCATAGGTTGAGAACCGTTCTATAGACAGTTTAGGGAGGGTTCAAGCACTGGTGAAGGCTGGGCTGGATGAGCTCAGGCCTTCTGGACCCTGACATTGACAACTTTTTATGAAAAAAGACTAAATGACAGCAAATTTAAAAAATTCTCACATAACCTCAAGGAAGCACCCCAAATATGACACGGTGACACAGCTCACAATAAACCATGGCACTGGTTGGTTATAAAATTAAGCTCCCCGAGCATATGTATAATATTAAAGTATCTTACTTATTAAAGTATTAAGTCTTAATCTAGACTTAATTCAATTAGGCAACTGTTTATTGAGCACGTAATGGGTGCCTGGCCCTAAGCTCCAGGGCACAGAAATGAGTAAGACACGGTGGGGCCCATCCAGAGCCTGAGCCTGGCTGGAGACACAAACAAGCCAATGAGAAACACCCAGGCCTGGGGCAGGGCCACCTCTGTGCGGAGGGCTAAGGGCTCAGCACACAAGAAGTCCCTGAGTGTGTCTCTCAGGGACTGGGAGCTACTGAAGGTTTGGGTCTAGCAGTGCCTGGCACAAAGCCGGAGCCTCTAAATGGACTTTTTTTTTAAAAATATTTTTATTGATTTTTTACAGAGAGGAAGGGAGAGAGATAGAGAGTTAGAAACATCAATGAGTGAGAAACATCGATCAGCTGCCTCCTGCACACACCCCACTGGGGATGTGCCTGCAACCAAGGTACATGCCCTTGACCGGAATCAAACCTGGGACCTTTCAGTCCGCAGGCCGACGCTCTAGCCACTGAGCCAAACCGGTTAGGGCTATAAATGGACTTTTTAATGTGATGACAGGAGTTCTGGAAAGGTGCCAAAGGAGTGGCTGCCTCTTGGGGGCAGGGCAGATGGGGGGGGGGGAGCTCCCTCAGGGAGGGGATATCTGGGCTGGTTCTAAAGACGGCACAGGTTCATCAGGGGCCGAGGGCAGGGAAGGCACCTGAGAGAGCAGCCTGAGAAGAAGCAGGGAGCGGTGCTGCAGGGCGCAGGCAGGGGCAGGGCTGGGGCTGAGGTGTGAGAGGAGACGGACAGGCAAGCGAGGACCACATTATTGAGGAGCTCGCATGCCATTCGAAGTCAGTGAGAAGTTAGGGGAGAGAGATTTCATCATAACTTGAAGTTCATTAAGATTTGAAGATGTAATCTACTTAAGACTCTTGCACGGTATAAATAAATGCAAAATAAGTTTCAAATTTATGGTTGCCCAAGAAACAGGGTCAGCCTTTGACGCACTGATAAAGCGACCGTGACTGCTATCACTCAGGGAGCAGCGGAGCCTGCCCAGCCCGGCCCTCTCTCCCCCCACTCCTACCTGAGCTGAGCCTTGAGCTCAGTGAACCGGGGCCGCCTGCTGGGGTCATAGGCCCAGCATTTCGTCATAAGGCTGTAGAGGGTGGGAGGGCAATTGGGAGGCATTGGCAATCTCTCCCCATTCTCAATGCGCCCGATCACATCATTGTTCTTCACTCCTTGAAAGGGCTTCACACCATGCATCAGTATCTCCCACATACATACACCTGTGAAACGGGTGAGAACAGAACAGGGGACTTAGCAGGATCGCTTCAGAGGCAGCACGAGGCCACCAGCTGTGTGATGTGGCACTCAGCTCAGTAAAGCACATTCAGTGAGCTCTTGCAGGAACAGCAACACGACTTTAATAGAACGTGAATAACGAAACATTAAATTACCAAAGAAAAAAACGTAATTTTTCGATGAGATTTTCTTCTCTAAAACTCCTATTAGGAAACGGCCTGGCAGTACAGGGCCACTTCCTGGCTTGGTGGACAGTTCAAAAGTAAGCTCAAAGGCAGTGGAATGGGTTTCAGCTCCTCGCCCGCCAGTCCGACCTGCTATGAGCGCAGTGGTTGACCCGCGGCCTAGCCACAGAAGCCCGACACTGACATTCCGCAGTTGGAACACTTGGAGCCCTTTAGAGCTGTGGTCTGTCCTGGACTCGGTGCACATGCACTGTTCACCCACAAGTCAGTCACTGCGCCTAGAACTTCTCATCCACAGACTCCACGATCAACCTCACAAAGTCTCCTCACAACCTACCCTTGAGAATCTCACACTTTCTCAGGATCGTCTGAACAACTGGGCATTCACCTTTAAATTAAACAAATGAACCAAACCTCAAACTGAAAATGAGGGCCACCCCCGGGAAGGACCAGGGAACCGAGCCCGGCGAGGGGGGAGGGCGGCTTTCTCCTGGGAGAGTCCGGTCAGCACCCGGCACTTTGGCCCCTGGAGATCTTGCCACCTTGAAGGTGCACAAACGTGCCTTTGCTCACATGAGTTCTCCGACTTAATGCCCCTTTACCTCCTCTTCACTAACCCTCCTCTGGAGGCACATCTGCGAGTTCTTCTGTAAAGCTCTTCCCAGTTCCCCTCTACTCCTCCGAAGCGCACACTGTGCACCTGCTGCCCTCAGGAGGGGAGCTGGGCTTTCCGCCTGCATCTTCAGTTCCTAAAACGGTCCGTCCCTCAGAGGAGGCCCGGCATGTTCCCAGAGCACGTGAGTCAGACCCTGGAGTCAGCCAAAGCCCAACAATGCCCAAGGAAAGACAGCGCTTCCTGCTTTCTCCTCACTATCGGCAACACTGAAAACATGACACACCGCTGACACCCTTCCTTGAATGCGCACGTCATCCTCAACCCTCACACCTTCCATCTCTTTAAACACAGCGTTTCCTCACGTCTAAGACGCACCGCTCCTTTCTATGACTAAGAGTAGGGGAATGCTGCCAGCTACATGACGATACAAGCCTGTCATCCCTTAGAATTGTCTTCGTCTCACCAACAAGCTCTTTCAACTCATCCAGACCAGAAAGGAAACATGCACAGAACAGACCAGGTCCCCCTGAGCGCAGGCAAGGCAGCCACAGGAAAACAGGCCCTGCAACCCAGTGCAGAACACGCCACTGGTGTGCACAAAGCCCAGTTCCAGGAACGTTAAAATGTGAAAGAAACAGGCATTTAGAATCTCTGAAGGACAGAATTTCCTTGCAAACATAAGTAACCTGCTCCCTAGTTGCCCAGCTAACGAGCAAGGTCCCGGGACCAAGCCCTTTTCTTTTCCTTCCCTCTCCCTTCGCTTTCCTTTTTTCTTAAATATTTTCTTCTCTTTAGTTCAGAGGGGAAGGGACAAAGAGAGATGGAAATATCAATGATGAGAGAGAATCATGGATCGGATGCCTCCTGCACACCCTCTATTGGGATAGAGCCCACAAGCAGCCATGTGCCCTGATGGGGTATTGAACCATGACCTTCTGGTTCATAGGTCAACGCTCAACCACTGAGCCACACCGGCTGGGCCCCAGAGCCTTTCTTGACCCTGTCGGACTGCTTCCTACTTGGCTGAAGAGGCCCTCCCTGAGCCTGGGGTCAGTGAGAGCGCTAGACGGTTACTAAATCGACAGCAGGGAAATAGGAGAAAATAAGGACACACACTTGATAGAGATGAAGTTGTTTTTATTTACAGGAAAAGGTACATAAACATACCAGCAGAGAAGACACATATTAGACTATGCGCAAGCTCCACGTGAGTGTTAGGACAGGGAAAGTGCAGAAGATGCGGAGACAGGGAGTCCTTGCATCTGGACGCTACCCTGCCACAGGAAGCGTCATTTCACGGAAGGGGCATTTCAGCTGACCTTGAGGTTATACAGAACTTGCACTGGGGGAGAGAGTAGGGATAAGGTGTTCCAGGTGGGAGGAATCACAGCAGAAGGGGGTGGGGAGGGGGCGTCACCTGGACTGGAAGGCGAGGAACTGAAAACCGGATGTGCAGTGTGGACTCGGAGAGCCCCTTACACTAGCTGGGAGGTGCTCAATGAACCACAGCAGGAGGTGGGTCAGGCGGGAAGGGACAGAGCAGACATGGAAGGGGCAGGACCATAGAGACAAGGGTCAAACCTCAAGCCCTGAGACGAGGGAGGGAGGAGGAGAGTCCAGCAGAGAGGGGGAAGCGCGGTCTCAGGTCCCTGGGTCTGAGGGACAATCACAGAGCCAGAGGGACAGTTAACTCAAGTCCATCACAGAAAGGAATGAACGAGAAGACAGAGAAAGAGAGAGAGAGAGAGAGAGAGAGAGAGAGAGAGAGGAGAGAGAGAGAGAGAGAGAGAGAGAGAGAGAGAAAAGGGAGCAGAGGCGACCGCCCTGTGGG